CCAGATGCTGACCACCGAGCTGATGGAGCAGCTGGCCGAGGCTCCGAGGCTGTCGCAGAGGTCTCCACAGGGGAAAAACGCGGGTCCCGAGGGAGGCGGGGCCTCGGGTCTTGCGCCGTGCTCGGGCCCTCGGAGCCCTCCGCGGGCCCAGGCAGTGGCAGAGAGCGGCTCGGGACGAAGAGCTGGGCCTGGGGGAGGGCCGCGGGGCCCCGGGCCCGTTGCCCCTCGGGACTCGCCTCCCCCACGCTGGCGAGGGTGAAGTCCATGGTCGAGCTGCCGCTGAGCTTCGTGACGGTGCAGGACCGCGGGTTCCACTTCGACATGCCCTCCGCCCTACGAGCGCTGTTCCCGGCGCCGGACCCGCTGGTGCTCGGCGAGGTCGTGCACGGGCTGGTGGACGTGTGCCGCTGCCTGCAGGCAGAGGAGGTGAGCATCCGGCACCTGCACTCGAAGACGTGCAAGGAGGTCGCCAAGAGGCTCGAGGAGAGCCTCGCGCACTCGTCGAAGAGAAGCAGCCCCCTTGTGACGGGACAGAGGAAAGCCCACATACCTTGCGAGGTATTGATCGTTGACAGATCCTTCGACATGGCCTCGCCCCTTGTGCACGAGTACACCTACGAGGCCATGGTCTATGATTTGCTCGACGGGGGCGCGCTCGACGCCGACAGGAACGTCGTGACAATGAAGTCCCCCGACCGGGAGATGCTGCTTTCGGAGGTTGATGCCCTTTGGGAGGAGCTGAAGCACATGCACCTTGGGGAGGCCCTGAGCACCATCCCAGCCAGGACGCAGGAGGTCCTGAGCCAGAACCGCAGGGCGAGCCCCGACCAGGTTTCCACGAAGGACCTGCTGGGGATGGTCAGGGATCTGCCCGGACAGAAGGACGTGATCGACCGGCTGATGCTGCACACCTTCATCGCCCAGGAGCTGAACAGGAGGATCGATGAGGAGCAGCTGATGCCGGGCGAAGCGCGGCAGGACTCTTTGGGGCTTCTGGAGCAGGACATCGCCTGCGGCCACGACAGGAATGGAAAGACCATAAGATCGGACAAGCTCCACGAGAACCTGGTCAAGTTCTTCAACAGGGGCGCATCCGTTCCCAGCGAGACCAAGCTGCGGTTGCTCCTGCTGTATCTGTCCTGCGTGGCCTACGTCAAGGAGGACGTGCGCCAGAGGCTGGTGGAGGCCGCCAACCTCAGCGCCGACGACCAGGTGGTGCTGATGAACATGCTGCAGACGCAGCTGGCCGACGTGCCTGACCACACGAGCCAGAAGCCAGGAGCCAGCTGCGTGCACCGGGTGACCGACGACCAGGCGGCCTGCTTCAAGGCCAACGCCAGGGAGGAGGGCCGCTTCGAGCTCTCGCGCTACGAGCCCCGGGTGAAGCTGATCCTGCGGCAGCTGCTGGAGGCCGGCTGCACTTGTCACTTACGTCGGGCATGTCCCTCTACAGGAGGAATGTTCAAGAACAGTCAAAAAATAGTCTGGGGACGACTTTGACAATGTTTGATCATTTTTTGTTTCTGTTGCGTATTCTTTCTTCATTTGTCGTCCAAAATCCGCCTGTAGTGTTGGGTCTGTTTTCCACCACCACCACCATGAGTTGGAGGGGGGAGGGGGTCCTCCTCTTCTTCTTCCTCCTCACCCTCCACCTCCTTCCCCCCTCCACCTTCTTGGCGCTGGCCGTGGAAAGCAGGCCCATCGTGTGGGGTGACACGCCCCGACCGAACTCCAAGAGGGACCCCCTCCGCCGGAGCGGCCTCTGCGGGTGCGCGGCCTCCGAGGCATGCGCCGCGGGGGGGCCCCTGTGCCCGAGCACGCGGGCCGCTGCCGTCGCGCCGCGCGCGGCGGCCGGGAGGCCGCGCACCAGAGGTCCCTCTTGCCTTCGCCGAAGAGGAGGGCGAGAGGGCCCCAGACATGAGCGCGTCGTAACAAAAAACTCTCAAAACAGGACGGCACGCTTTTCGCTGTTTTCCGCCCCTGGGTGCCCTCGCCGGGCTCCAGGACCGCCAAAAAAGGACTCAGGATGAAAAACTGGCCCCTGGGAAAGGGTCTGGACTTCGGGGACGCCGTCCTGAAAAAATCAGGACGTCTCATGTCTGATCACAAACTTTGGGCGCTCCGCGCGGATTTCTTGGATCCGCGCTGGGCCCCCCGGCGGCGCCTTTGGCGCCGCCCCTGGCGCGCTCCGCGCGCCAGGGAGGGGGATCCAGCGCCGATCCAGGCCAAGAAGTCCGCGCGGAGCGCCACCAGTTTGTGATCGTGCCCTTTCCTCTTCTTCTGCTTCGGTCCCTCTGGCGTGCAGCCGATGGAGGGCAGGCTGCCCGACGAGGAGTTCCCGCACCAGACCGGCGCCCCGAGCTGCCCCATCGCGTCGGCGGCGGGCCCTCTGCGCGCCGCGGCCCGCGGCCTCGCGGCGCCCCTCGCGCCGCCCGTGGCGGCCGTGGACGACTGGTCCTTCGCTGAGGCGGCGGCGGCGGCCGACCCGGCCGCCCACAGCACTGCCCCGGGCGTCACGCGGCGGGTGCTCGTCTTCGTCCTCGGCGGCATCACGTACTCCGAGCTGCGCGCGGTGGCGGAGCCCGGCGTCGTTTCACCGATGCCCATCCCCTGAGAGCCTGGCGACTCCATTTTCCCGAGCGGGGCGTTTGCGCTCCACTTCGGGCCCCAGGGCCCTCACAGATCGATCCGGCTCGCAGAAGGACGCAGGAAGATGGGGTCTGGGAGGCTTGTTGGGTTTTTTTTTCGCGACATCGGATCTCAGGGTCTCCATCCCAATCCTCGTCCCAATCCCCATCCTGAGCCCCACCCTCACACCACCCCAGTTGGGGGGGTATGCCCCTCGGACCCCGAAGGGAGCAACCCACACCCCCACCTGGGGGGCGAAGTCGGCCAGTGGGGCCCAGGCAGGCCACGCCAGCGGGGACGGCTCGTTGAACCGATGCACAGGAGCTGAAGCGCGAGCTGCCCGCCGCGGGCCTGGAGGTTCGGGGGGACGGGAACTGGACCTGCAGCTGGCACGAGGGCGTCGCGTCATAGGGGGGCGCGATGGATGGGGGGGGACAGCGAAGGCTGCAGAACAGGGGCCTTGAGCGCCCCGAAAGGGCGCCCTTTAGGGCCTCCTCCTCCTCCTCCTCCTCCTCCTCCTCCTCCTCCTCCTCCTCCTTTGGGGCCGAGAGGTGCACCGTTCTTCCCCCCCCCCCCCCCCGCGTGCATCGCCCCCGCCCAGTGAGCGACGCCCAAGGCACGAGGGCTGGGGGAAGCCCCAGCTTTGGAGGGCCACCCTTATATGTTCTTCGTGCTGGGGCTCTCCGCCTTGGGGCCTTCTTCGCTTCGGGTATCTCCGTTGGGCCCCGGGCCCTCGTCAGGGGGGCTCATCTGCTCTTGGCCCGCGTGCTCGTGGCCATCCTCTGGCTGTATCTATCCGCTGCCAGGGCAGGCCCATCCTCGGCCCAGCTTGGCGGTGCAGATGCGGCCCTGGCCGAGGCAGGAGGGCGCAGGCACCGCCCGTGGGCCCAGCGTGGGCCCGGCTGGCAGCGGACGTGCGCGGACCCCTTGTGGCACTGGAGGTCGTCCTCGGGGGCACCTCGCTCCTCACGGCCCGGCGCCTCATCGACTCGCTCCGGCCGCCCCGGGAGGAGGAGCCGCACGGCGCCGCGCGGGGGCCGCAGGAGGAGGCGCCCAGGCCGAGCCGGGCGGGCCAGGCCCTGCAGAGCGCACTGAGCCTGGCCTGAGGCGCGCGCGGAGAGAGGCCCCGCCGCGACGCACCGGCGGCCCTCCCCGCTGGGTCCCCAGACATCCAACGTCTCGATTTTTTCGAGACGCGGGCCCCCGACCTCCCGACCACTTCCCTGGGACCTGTTTTTCATCCTGAGCCGTTTTTTGACGGTTCCGAGGCCCGGCGAGGGCCCCGAGAGGCCAAAAACTATGAAACACCTCCGTCTCGATTGTTTCGAGGCGCCCGATGTCTGGGTCGCTCTCTCCGTCGGATTTCACATGGGGGCCCCCTGGGGAGGCACTCGCCGCTGCGGCGGGCTCCCCGCCTCGAGAGCCGCGCGGGGCGGCGCCCTGGCCGGGCTCCCGGGGGCCGCTCCTGCAGGGGGGACGTGCCCTGGCGCCTGGCCCCCTTTGTCAAGCGGTGGCGAGGCGTCCTGGCTCGCCTATAGCGCTACGGTAGGTCCGTGTCGTGTCGACCGGCGGCGACCCCGCCGCCGACGTTCAAGGTTGAACCCCGCCGGCGACCCAGAATCGATCGATGTTGAACGATCGGACGTTGCGGCAGCGGCCGATCGTTCAAGGTTGAACGAGCCCTGCGGTGTCAAAAACCAACGCTGGGGTCGGCACGACACGAACCTGCCGTAGAACATTTCAGGCGGAGTCTGTCTTGTTTTATCACATCGGGTTGATATTCCAAGAACATTGTTTTTGTTATTCGAACATCTTTGGATTCTAAGAGCATTTCGGGGTAGGACTATAGGAATGCTGGGACCGTCGGTCCCTGCTCAACTTCGGCCGAAAACGAAATGTGACCGACAATGCTCCCGGAACTGCCACCGAAAATGTAACCCACGAGGGTCTTCAGATACCCCCTTTCCGATAGGGGGCTAAACTGATAATTTTCCGGTGACCTTATTGATGGACGTTTCATCCGCGGCCCTCGCCGCACAACAACGACGAGGATATTCGCGTGGCCGAAATTGCAACCGAAGTTGACAAACGAATTGGCCTCGGACCGAAGATTTCGGCCACGCTGGGGCCCGTTCGGAACAATTCGGTCGCAGGCCTCGGCCACACAACCGGGCAGAGAGTTCCGGGCACAGTTTCGGGGCCACCGCACCCCCCCGACAGAGATGAGGCCCTGTGAGGAAAGTCCCAGAGGCCTCGTCTGGCGCGCAGCAGTACTGTGTCAAGTTCGGGGCGCAAAGAGACGGGGGTCGATGCAACCGAGGGCCAGTCAGAGCGCCGGATCTTGCAGCATCATGCAGGGCCAGGGGTGCATTGACCCGGGCTTGCGTGCAGGATCCTGCAGGAGCTTGCAGGATCTTGCAGGATCCTGGAATGCCCGACCGACCCGCGTTGGCATTGACCCGGTTCAGTAGATGCGCTCGGAGAGGAGAGTCCACGCGTACGGCCCGGCAGATCTGGGATTATGATGATCCAGCTTGCTTCAGCCGTGATCGCCAGAAAGAATTTCGAGCACCAAGATAGTACCGAAGCTGGAGGGTTTTCACGTGTCGGGCCCTGTGAGGCGATATTCGTTCGACACTGTTTCGGTCCTTTTCTGGGTGCCCGAAACTATTTCTGGGATGCGGTCCTGAAGCACGACGGGAGCAACATGAACATGGGACGGCTTTCGCGCGGCGACGTGCCGGCGTAGGCGCAAGCCCGACTCAAACCCGACGATGCGAAGCCGGCGCAAGGCCCGTGTGCACACGGGGCCTCCCGTGGCCGCGCGAGGCGTCCGGCACGTGATGCGTGCAGCCAGCGCGCTCCGTGAGGGCACGCGCCCCCCTCCAGGGGTGCCCCTGCGGCCTCGCCCCAGCGGCCCGCCCTGCGCTGCCGTCTGCACCCAGCGCCCGCCGCCGCCCCCATCGCCCGCCGCCGCCTTCGCCCCTCGCCCGTTGGGAAGAGTCCCCGAGTGGGCCTCCGAGGGCCTGGCGTCCTGGGAGCCTCAGCCCCCCCGTCGCTGCTGCACGCCTGGGCCGCGAGAGGCCGCCAGGAGGATCTGGGCCTCGCGGGAGGGCCGCGCTCGTCTCGAGGGGCCCTCCTCTGGAGCAGGGGGGGGGCAGCACGCCAGGCGGGCGCTCGCCGGGCGCGACAGAAGACACCGCCCGGCCACGCCCGCGGGCGAGGGAACAAAAAGGGCAGAGGACGCAGAGGGTCGGGGGGCGGAAAAGAGGGGGGTGATGACTAGGGGGGGGGTGGATATCATGGCGCGGGCCATGATTTTTCCCCAGATTTTATGGCGCTCCTTCTTATTTCATTACGTCCCTGGCCCCCCGCTGGGCCGCGCACATGCCGCCAGTCATGATTTGCACCCCGCCCTCTTGGACACCCCCCTCTTGGCCGCTCCCGAGAGGGGGAGTCGGCTTGGGAGTGGAGGTGGCGCAGCACTGGTTGGGGCCAGCAGGAAGGGTCGGGGCAGGTTCGGGGTGGTGGCTTCAACACGGTGCTTTGCCTTGTTTGGTCTCCGGGGGCCGTTTTCGGCCCTCGCGATTGTGACAAAACGGATCCGGGGTGTAACGTTGCACCAGAGGGACCCCGACAGGGGAGGGGTCCGGGGGCCGATTTTGACCAGATTTGCCTTCATCCCCATTCTCTTGACAGATTGTCTAGGGGCCCAACCAGCTCGCCTCCGCACGCAGAGGGGCCACCATGATCCACCACTGCTCCATTCTGGTGACCAGGGCGAGAGTCGCTTCGTTGGATACTTGTTCAGATCTGCTTCGTCAGCCGCACCTCTGCCTTCGACGTGGGCATCCCTGGCCTGGAACATGGCGACCAGGTGCGCCGAAGACGCCGTCCTGCAGCACTGGCCCGCGGTAATCGCCTTCGCGTGACCTGTCTGTGAAGCCGCCACTCGGGCAGGGGCGCGTGCCCTCGGCCACCCGCGGGGGGGCGCGAGGAGACTCGCGCTTCTCGCGCCGCGGCCCGGGCCAGAGCGGCTGCCCTTCTCCGCGGGGGCAGGGCGAACCAGTAAGGCCGAGCATTTTTTTGGGGTGCGGCAAAAGGTGAAATCTGAAATGCCGTTTCGATTGATTCTCGAGGTTCGAATCTGCAAGAGGTGAGTCACAAGACGGATTGATCTTCGAGGTGCACAGGCCTATACGGAGTTCACCCCGAGCCCTCCACCCGAAGAGAATGCTCAGAAAAGGGGCCGCCAGCGACGGCAGGTGCCCCGCCTCGTCGCACCGCGCAGCGGGGGCCCGCCTCGCCAGCTGCGGGGCGCAGCCGCCGTGGGGGCGGCGTGGCGCCAGCCAGGCCAGGGTGCGTGCACGCGTGGGGCACCCCGTGCGCGACGTGCTCCAGATCGCTGCTGGGGTGGTTAGGGGGCCGGAGGGGCTAGAAGCGGATGCTAAGAGCGGTAATTTATTGATTTCTATATATGTACATGCACATGTATATATGTATGTATATATGTATATATATATATATATATATACACATATACTCATATATATATATATATATATAAGTGTGTATATACACAACAAATCAGAGTGAGGGGGGCCGAATGAAGCATTCACTGTCCCTTGCCTGTGGCTGAAGTGGGATTCCGCGATGCGGATTATTATTGTTGTTGTTTGTTGTTGGTGTTGTTGCTGTTGTCGTTGTTGGTGTTGTTGCTGTTGGTGTTGTTGTTGTTGTTGTTGTTGTTGCTGCTGGTGTTGTTGTTGTTGTTGTTGTTGGGCGTCGTCCCCCCGCGACCCAGCCCGCGACCCACTCGCGACCCACCTGGAAACCCACCCGCGACCAACCCGTGACCCACCCGCGACCCCCCCACGCGACCCGCTCGTGACCCGCCCGCGACCCACCCGCGACCAACCCGCGCACCAACCACGACCCACCCGCGACCCATCCGCGACCTGACCCTCGACCCACCCCCGACCCATCTGCGATCCACCCGCGACCCACCCGCGACCCACCTCGCGACCCAGCCTTTAACGAGAAATCGGCGCCTCTGGCGGGCCCGTTGTATAGTTTGTCAAGATTTGGCGCCTGCGGCAAGCTTTGTCAGAGCCTTGCAGACTGCAGACGTCCTCCCTGCCCCATCCTTATTATCTGCAACTGCGGGGGGCTACGTGTGTGTATGTATGTGTATATACGTAGCACCCCGCAGATGCAGATAAGAGTGAGGGGGCGGTGGGGACGTCGGCAGTTTGCGAGACTCTGGAGAAGCTCGCCGCAGGCGCCAAAGTTCCACAAATCATACAACGAGCCCGCCGCAGGCGCCGATGTTTTCGTTAAACAATGTGGGTAGGTCGCGGGTGGGTCGCAAATGGGTCGCGGGTGGGTCGCGGGTGGGTCGCTGTTGGGTCGCGGGTGGGTCGCGAGTGTAGAGGGCAAACATCCACCCCATAAAACCCGACAAGTGAAGCCGTTTAGTAAACGCACAAGGAATGAATCGAACAGGGCAGGGCTGTTTAGTCAACGCCCAGTGCCGTTGAGTAAACGTCAATTGTCGGGTCTTGGTGGTTTTTCTTCCTATGAGGGTGGGTCGCGGGGTGGGTCGCGGGTGGGTCGCGGGGTGCGTCGCGGGTGGGTCGCGGATGGGTCGCGGATGGGTCGCGGGGGGAGTCGCGGGTGGGTCGCGGGGTGGGTCGCGGGTCGGTCGCGGGTGGGTCGCAGGGTGGGTCGCGGGTGTGTCGCGGGGGACGGGGTGGGACGGCGACAACAAACAACAACAACAACAACAACAACAACAACAACAACACCAACAACAACAACAACAACAGCAACAACAACACCAACACCAATAGCAACAACAACCAACAACCAACAACAACAACAACACCAACAACAACAACAGCAACAACAACAACAGCAGCAGCAGCAGCAGCAACAACAACAACAACAGCAGCAGCAACAACAACAACAACACCAACAACAACAGCAACAGCAGCAACCACAACAGCAGCAGCAACAACAACAATAGCAGCAGCAACAACAGCAACAACAACAACAATACTAACAATAACAATAACAACACCACCACCATCTACAACAACACCAACACCAGCAGCAGCAGCAGCAACAACAACAACACCAACAACAACACCACCACCACTACCAACAACAACCACAGCAACACCAACAACAACAATCAAACAAACAAACAAACAAGCAACAACAACGCAACAAGCATAATTCTCACCACGAATTTCTTATTCAGCCACGCACGCAGGGACAATGAAGGACCGTTCGGCCCCCTCACTCTGATATATGTATGTGCGTGTGTGTTTGGCCGAACATAGCTCACATGCGGGTTCCCAGTGCCCTCAGTGGCCGAGGCGGGTCACAGATCTGGTCTGCGTGGGCGCCGCCCACAGGGCACACGCAACCCATCTGTGAGCAAGGCTAGGCCAGAAAGAGCTCTCCGCTGCATCCGCCTCTAAACCTCCCTCTCCCCTTGGCAGCCGCCGCGGTCATCTCAGCGGTGCGGGCCTGCCGTGGCCCGCCGAATCCCAGGCCCCCTCCGAGCCATGACAAGGGCACGGCGGAACGTGTTCCGCCATGGCCGGGCCGCGGGGCCGTCGACCACCGGCTCAGGATGGCAAGTTGGTCCCGGGGAGGGGGTCGACACCTCCGGGGGTCGACCTTCTGAGAAAGCCATGGCGTCGGGGATCCGGGGTCACTGAGGGCGGTGCGAGCGGGGCCTGTCTCTGCGTCCCACGGGATGCAGGGTGGAGGCTGCCGGCGTCAGCCTTCCACGGGGAGGGCAGGTGAGAGCCCTGCGGAAGAGTTCTCGGTACCATTTTGGTCGGTCGCGGGGGAGCCTGGTGCCGCAGCGGCTCGTGTGCTCGGGCTTGGCTCCCCTGGCTCACACCCCATGTACGATGCGAGCAGAGGGTTGACTGCAGCATGGATGTACCCCTGTACTTCGTCGAAGTTACGAACAGCACGTGGAATGTCCGAACCTGTGAAGGCTATGCTGCCCAGTTTCCTTCGACTCGACGAAGCAAGCAATTTTGGGGTAAAAAATCAATTCTCTAGTCGATCCCCTGCTCGAACGGATGCGGTCGCGTGTCGCGCCGCCTGCTCTCGCCCATCGCGCTTCGGCGCAGTGGCCGCCACGTCGCCCCCCTTGGTTCGGATGTAACTCCTGGGAGGTCAAATTCTGATTTTGCCCTGGTCCGACGTCCGGCTTAATCCCGCTGAATCCCGCCCAATCCCGCTTGATCCCGCTTAATCTGGCTTAATCCCGCTTGATCCGAAGCCCACTCTGGCGTAACGGCCCCGCCGTGGGGCTTGATCCTCCTCGATTTTGCCGACGTCTACCTCCCAGCAGTTGCTTCCTACCTACCCTTGACGTCCACGCCCCGAGCCTCTCCCCGACCTTCCCGCCCTCGGGGGACCGGGGCGCGCCACGCGCTCGCGAGCCGCTCGCGGGGCACACGGCGCGTCTTCGGGGCGGCCGGTGCGGCACGCGGAGCGGGAGCCCGCGGCGGCAGCCTGGCTGCGCGAAGGGTCATGGTTGATGATGATGTTCTCCCCTGGTGATGCTGATGGCGATGCTGATGGCGATGCTGATGGTGATGATGATGATGATGATGATGATGATGCTGATGGTGATGCTGATGCTGATGATGATGATGATGATGATGATGATGCTGATGCTGATGCTGATGCTGATGGTGATGCTGGTGATGGTGACGATGCTGATGCTGATGCTGGTGATGGTGATGATGCTGATGCTGATGCTGATGATGGTGATGATGATGCTGATGTCAGGATAATGAGGAGGAGGAGGAGGAGGAGGAGGAGGAGGAGGGGGAAGATCATCAAAATTATCATCAGCAGCAGCCTCAGCAGCATCATCCATGTTCGTCTTCTGAGCCCGATGCCCTGTGGCGGGTGGCTGCCCGGAGTCTTAGTATTCCTGTCCCCACCAAGTTTGGTGCTGTTCTCTGCGCAGGCGCGTGGCCTTTGATGCCTCGGCGCATTGACGAATTGGTACGTCCCTGGCCCAGAGCCTGCTGGAACGGCCAGGCCAAGGGGGGTCCCAGGCGTCGAGCCCGACGGCTTGCGGCAGAGATCGGAAGAGGAGAGCGCCTCCGGCAGCCACACGCCTGTGACCTGTGCCGCGAGACGTGCTCGCTGAGCGCCTGCCAGGTGGTCTGGCGGAGCGGCGGGCGCGACTATCCTCCGTGCCACCGCCGCGTGTGACGACTGCCGCGCCCGCCGCGTCTGCGGCGCAGCGTCGGCGCAGGCCAGGGCCTGTCCCGATCCCAGCGATCCGGTTCGACATCGACTTCGGCCGGCCCAGTCCGTTTCGAATGCGATTTCCAGGCGATTCGATGCGACCCGATACACAGCGTAGTTGCGCATGGGGGCGCAGCCGTTCCGATTCGACTTCGATTCCGAAGCGCCGAAACGATGCAACCCGATTCGGACTCGACGCTGGATGATCCTGCCGGACACACTTGAAAGCCTTGTTGGGCCACGCGTGTGTTCGGGAGCCCGCGAAGTGTTTTGAAGCCTTCAGCGTGGAGGGATGGGAGCAAGGAGGGCGCGGGGTTCGCGAACCCCGACGTCTGCTAGTCGCAGCCGCCGCATTCTGAGTCAGGGAGGCTCGCGAGAGCGGCGCTCCCCAGAGAGAGAGAGCCAGAAATCCGACGCCGAGATTGGTTCGCAATGTGGCCCCCCCAGATGTCTGGACAATTCTGGGCCCCATCCCCGCGGCTAGTTTCTCATCTTGAATCGTTTCTGTTACGGCCTCGTTGAGGTTCCCTGGAGACAGGAAACATGAAGCATCATCCGTCGTGCTTGTATTGGCTTCGCCACGAGAGAGGAGGTGGGCGGGGCGGTGCACAAAGGCGGAGACGATCAAGATCTCGAACGACTCGCTGTTCCCGGCGAGCATCCGCCTCGGTCTGGTCTCGCAGGCGCGCCCCGCCAACCACGGGGGGGGGGCGTGGTCGTCCTCGTCCGCTGCAGCTGGGCGATGAGATGTCATCGACGACAAGTCTGATGATGCTGATGATGCTGATGACGACGACGACGACGACGACGACGACGACGACGACGGTGGTGATCATTATGATGGTTGTGATGGTGATGAGGGTGATGACGATAACGGTGACGATGACAAGTCTAATGAAGATGCTACTAATGATGGTGGTGGTGATGAAAACAAGGAAGAATATGGTGATGATGATTGTGGTGGTGATGAAGATGCTTATGAGGAGGAGGAGGAGGAGGAGGAGGAGGAGGAGGAGGAGGATGGTGATGGTGATGCTGGTGATGATGATGATGAGGATGATGATGATGACTATGACCATGGTGATGGTGATGGTTGTGATGGTAATGCGTATGACTATGATGAGTATGATGTGTCTGGTGTGTGTGATGGTGATGATGATGCTGATCATGATGGTGATGATGATCATGGTGATGATGGTGATCCTGATCATGGTGATGATGGTGAGAACGATGACGATAATGACGACGATGATGTCCTTGACGATGACGAGGGTGTTGATAAAATGATGACGATGGTGATGATGCTGATGATAATGATGGGGCTGCTGCTGCTGCTGATGATGAGTATTTTGGTGTTGTTGGTGATGGTGGATGTAATGGTAATGGTTGTGGTGATGGTTCTGGCGATGATGTTGATGATGCTGATGATGATGCTGATGATGATGTTAATGATGATGCTGCTGCTGATGGTGATGCTGGTGACAATTATGCGGATGCGGATGCGGATGCGGATGTTGCTGCTGCTGATGCTGATGATGATGATTTTCATGATGATCATGACTGTCGATTGATAGCGTGCATCGCACAGCTGTCATCACCCGACGTCGATGCTGGAGGTGACGATGATGTTGCTGATGATGTTGATGGTGCTTGCAGGAAAGGCCCTGCGGAACGGAGTGCCGAGGCTCAGCTCTCTCAGCCGCCCTCGCCACCCGGCCCTACTTCAAAATGGGGCGGCCCCCATCCCCCGACGACTGAGCGTCGGGCAGGGTCACGCCTGGAGCGGCTAGGGGTGTAAGTGCTGCCACCCCCAACCGAATGGCTCGCACCTCCGCGATCTCGACAAGGTCGCCGTTGTAGAGAGGGAGCTTCGGCCCTGAGCACGATGTGCAGGTGGCGCAGGGCGTCCCGCACGAACATGCCGAACAGCAGGCCGGGGCCGCCTGCAGCGCCAGAAGTGGAACACTCTCCCCGGCGCTGATGGGGCCCTGATGGGAGGCCGCCTCGGCCGCAGCAGTCGGGCCCTCGGTGTCCTCCCCGTGCCATAGGTGAGGCCTCGGAAGCGCCTCGACGGCGCGTCCTACCGACACGTCTGGGGGTGCGACAGGGAGGGGTCATTTAGGAGGACAAGGGATGGAGGAGGAATAGGACCAGGAGCAGCAGCAGGAGGAGGAGGAGGAGGCGGAGGCGGCGGCGGAGGAGGAAGAGGAGGAGGAGGAGGAGGAGGAGGAGGGAGGAGGAGGAGGAGGAGGAGGAGGAGGAGGAGGAGGAGGAGAGGAGGAGGAGGAGGAGGAGGAGGAGGAGGACGAGAGAGGAGGAGGAGGAGGAGGAGGAGAGGAGGGAGGGAGGAGGAGGAGGAGGAGGAGGAGGAGGAGGAGGAGGAGGGAGGAGGAGGGAGGAGGAGGAGGAGGGAGGAGGAGGAGGAGGAGGAGGAGGAGGGAGGAGGAGGAGGAGGAGGAGGAGAGAAGAGGAGGAGGTCTCCAGCCTCGTGGGGGCCTCCGAGGGGCCTCCTGGGGGCCTCCCGAGGGGCCTCTCGGGGGCCGCCCCTGCTGGCCGCGGGCGGGGGCGCCGCCCAGCGGCCACGCGAGGCCCGCGCTCGGGCGAGAGGCGCGCCGTCGGCCGCAGGCGTCGGAGCCAAGGTGGGCCCGCCAGGCGGCCCTGCGGCAGGACGCCTGCTCCGCCTCCTCCTCCTCCTCCTCCTCCTCCTCCTCTCTCCTCCTCCTCCTCCTCACTCCTCATCCTCCTCCTCCTCCTGTCTCATCCTCCTGTCCTCCTCCTCCTCCTCCTCCTCCTCCTCCCACTCCTCCTCCTCCTTCTCCTCCTCCTCCTCCTCCTCCTCCTCCTCCTCGCGTCGGTGACGATGACCATGTCGATGACGATAACAGTGACGATGACGATGATGACGACGCTGGCGATCACGATGGTGGTGACCGTGTTCACGATGATGCTGATGCTGGCTCTGAGGGTGGTGGAGCTATGGTGGTGACGTTTCCTGGATTTCCTGTAGCCGGATATCTTGGCGCATGCATCTGCGGTAGGCTCAGGGGGGGAGGGACGTTTACCCCCAAGCGCCCATGCTACAGCCGGGGCGCTGAAGAAGGAACCCTTTTCGTTGGGGAGGGGCTCCGTGCTCCTTGATTGTTTCACAGCTTGCCCTAGGTGTTCCTTAGATGTTCGATGGGAAATCGAACTTTCACTGTTGGAAGAAAAGGGGCCTCGTTCCTCATTTATGGTTCCTGAGTTCAACGTCTTGACTGTACGCTGGTCCGGGCCTGGCCCCCCCCACCCTGCCCAGGAGCAAACGCCTGCCAAAACCTGGCCCAACCGACGATCTATCGGCGAGGTACCACCGATGCCAGGCCAGTGCTGCCCCCCCCTTGAACCTGTCCCCCCCCCCCGTCGTTCCTCCTCATTACTAATGATGCTCTAGCCTACTTTAGCCTTGATCGCAAGAAAGAATTTCGAGCACCGCAAAAATACCGAAGCTCAAGGATTTTCACTTGTCGGGGCCTGGGAGACACTCGTCCGACACTTTTTCGACACTCGTTCGAAACCCTTTCGACACTTTTCTGGGTGCTCGAAATTATTTCTGGGATGTGGTCCTTGAGTGCGATGGGAGCAACGCAACTCAGCACCTGAGCTGCATCGATACGCCCGCTCTTGTACGCAACACGTGCCGTGCCCAAGACCTCCGAGTCAACACGTTGCGTGTTGGCTCAACGTCTCGGACCTGCGCTTTGGCGAACGCATCGCGTCAGACTCGCGCTTCCGGTCCACGGCGTCGAGCCCCGCATCGACACGCTGCGTGTTGCCTGCTGCGTGTCGGGGCAGCTGAGCTCCTCCCGTGTGCGCCCCGATCCGGCGTGCGGCAGCCTCGCGCCGCGCCGGCCCCCGCGGCGACCCCGGGCGCGCGCAGGGCCGCCGCTCGCGGCAGGGCCGGGGCGGTCCGCGCGGCCAGCGCGCGGGCGCCGTCACGGCCCGAGCCCGCCGCGCCGGCCGAGGCGAGGAGGCACGGAGCAGGTCGGGTGCCGGCTACACGCAAGAGCGACCCTTGGCTGGGGTGACCTTTTTTCTGGACGCCCGAAGTGGGTACGGAAAGAATGGGTACAATGCCCAGCAGCAGTTCCTGTGCATTTTGAGCAGGGTTCGCTGTCCACGCCGCCGCGGCCTGTGTCCATTCGAGACGGAAGGCCGCCTGCCCAGCAGCGGCCGCTGTTGGTGTGGGACAGCATTTGTTGCTGGGCATTGTACCCATTCTTTCCGTACCCATTTCGGGCGTCCAAAGTTTTCGGCCAACAACCAGGCGGCACCACCCCACCTACGGCCCTCCAGGTTGCTCTACGGCCCATCGGGGGCCGCAGCGTACACCATGCAGAAGCCCGCGCCAGATGTCATGGTATACGCTACGGACCGTGGGGCCGAAGGTGGGGTGGTGTCGTAGCCGCGCACCAAGGGGCGCTCTTGCGTGTAGCCGAGGGTGTGGGAGGGACCCGTGCTGTACCTCGGGCCCTTCGGGGCCGTTCCTGCTGGTGCTCCCCGCGCACCCAGGCGCGCTCGGGGCCCAAGGGGCTTCGTTCCTCCTCCGGCGCGCCCTGTGGTAGCACGGTGGTCGCAGCCTGTGTTCAAGGGTCTGGAGCGGACCTGCCCCGCACCCGTGCAGTGCGGGCGGCGCCTCTGGCGGCGATATCCGCGCCGTATGCGGCGATATCCAGGGCTCCCATAGCCCCCTCCCTCCCCAACGATGCGCCATCGGGGCTCTCGCAGATGTCCTCAGTGGCAGCGTCAGGAGGGGACGGCTACAGTCGGACCGAGGTATAGGATCGAGGTCGATTAGGGGAGCGTACCCTGATGCTCGTCGTGCTTGTTGGATGTTCTTGTGCATCCTTAAGGAGGGCACCCTCGCATGTTCTTCAGTTTGCACCAGCGGAGGGTCTCATGTTTCGGAAGGATGCGATTCTGCCCCATAGTCCGGCTTCAGGCCCGGGGGAAGACGCATCGACCCCCGCTCGCCCATGGATCGTCGATGGGCGCCCGATTGCCCACCGCGCCCAGGCAGCGAGCGGGTTCGCGCTCGCGGGCCCGTCGCCGGTCCATCGGCGATGCATCGCCGATTCCAGCGCGATGCTTTCCGCCCCTTGCTGCCCCAAATCCCTTGTTAGTCGTCCCCTGGTCCGGTTTTTTAAGGCACCTGTTTGGTAACCGGGGGTGTCTGGTTTAGTAGGGCGCTTTCCTTGGACTGGAGCTCAGGTGGTCACGCGGAGTAAGGCGCCCCGTCGAAGAAGGGGGTCCGGAGTCGCATTTGAGGGGGGGGGGTCCGGTTTTTTTTTGGGGGGGGGGTCGATTCATAAGGGATTTGGAGTATCCCTGAGCCTGTCCCACCCTGACGCCTCCTGCAGATGCCCTTCCCAGGTCTGCGGGGGGGGGGTGCGCGTCGTTGTCTCGGGCCGCCGAGGGGCTCTCTCGCCAGCTATCCTGCTGCGGCAGCGGGGAGGGAGGAGGTGGGGGGGGGGGTAGGGAGGGAGGCAGGGAGGGAGGACACAGCAGGCGTCAGTCTCCACGGTGAGGGGGAGGCAGGAGACCTGAAGGTTGACGATGAGCAGGATGTCGGTGAAGACGAGCGTCGTCGCGGTCGAAGGGCATGCCGCTCGGCCTGCGAGATGGGCGAGGGCCGCGGGGGTGGGCAGAGGGACGAGGTCTTGGTCCGGGGGTCAGGGGGGGTCCTGGGAGGCCCTGTGGTATTCAATCGTGTTCAAAGCGATCCCATGGAGGATGGAGATGATGATAGCGATGATGATGGTGATGAGGATGAGGATGATGATGATGATGATGATGATGATGATGATGATGATGATGATGATGCTGATGATGATGATGATGATGTTGATGATGGTGGTGATGATGATGATAATGATGATGCTACTGCTGATAGTGGTGATGATGATGATGATGATGGTGGTGATGATGATGATGATGATGATGGTGATGGTGCTGACGATGATAACGATGATGATGGTTATGATGATGATGGTGATGATGACGACGACAATGATGATGCTGCTTATGATCATGATGCTGATGACGACGATGGTGCTGATGATGCTGATGCTGATTATGATGATGCTGCTGATGATTCATGATGCTGATTATGATGATGACGATGATGATGCTGCTGTTGATGATGCTGCTGCTGATGATGACGATGATGATGATGATGATGATGCTGCTGCTGATGATGATGATGATGATGATGATGATGCTGGTAGTGATTAGGCTGAGGAGGAGGAGGATAAGGAGGTGGAGGAGGGGGGAGAAGGAGAAAGGACTGAGTGAGCAGGGAAGTTTCGAGGGAGTAGGGCTTTCATTCTGCTGTACGGGGATATTTGTTTGGGGGGAGGGGTCTATGAGGTCCTGGGGGGGAGAGGTGGAGAAAGGGGGGGAGGAGGAAAGGGGAGGAGGAGGGGAGGAGGGAGGGGGATGAAGAGGCGAATCTGAGCCTGCCCCGCAGGGTGGAGATTTCGACCCCAACGGAGAGCAGAAGGAAGAGCCGCCGCCGCCCCCGCCGGACCCGCCGAAGAAGGATAGCCCCTTTGTTTGTTGGGCTTCAGTCAGAACGCATAAGTAGGACATGTGTGAAACCGAGTGCTTCTGTTGAGTGTGTTCCACTCGGAGACGGGACAGTCGAGACTACGACGGCACTCCCTTGAGTAAGTCGTCCTTTTTACTAGGCTTCTCGTCGCCACGGCTAGATTGGCTTTGAAAAACAGCCCAGGAGGGGTCCAGGGACCAATTTTCAAAGGATTCTGACCAGGTGAGAGCGCCGCCGTTCTCTAAACTGCCCATCCCGCGGATGCTATGCATGGCCGCGCGTGCAATTTGCTCGCTGCGTACCCTTCCTCTCTGCACGTCTACTTGGCCGTTCCCGTGCGCCTGCCTTGCGAGTAAGCATGTGTGGTTTGCGTTCAGACTTGCTCTCAGTCGGCCGTTTTGAATCGCGCCCTACGCAGGTGGTTTACGCGTAGTTATTCTGAACGCTTCGTGGAGGTCTCCGAATGCGGACGGTTCCCATTCCTCCGGCCGTGCCGGTGATGCCAGGCCCAGAGCGCCCGCCATCTTTAGTGCGCGCTGCTGGGTAGCAGCGGCCGGCGAGCCTCCCTTCTCCTCCTCCGCGGGCCGCTGAGAGGCCTCCCTCCCTGCCTCCTCGGCTTCATCCTCCTCCTACCCCTCCTCGTGTTGCTCCTCGTCGTCGTCCTCCGCCTCACACTCCTCTTCGTCCAATTCCTTCTTCTCCTCCTCTGCCTCTTCGTCCAACTCCGTCCCCTTCCACAGCAATTTTACCATGTTGGCATTACTCTCCTCTCGCCCCCGAAGATATGCTGATATTGGCGCGTCCCCGTCTGCGTACTTTCCCCGCAGCAGTGCTTGCGCTTGCGGGTTCTTATTTGTCTTCTACGGAGCTGGGGTCGTTTGTTGGATCCGCCACCGTCGCCGCCCGTCATCTGGGCTCGTTTGTCGGATCCGCCGCCTTGCCGCCGTCGCCGCCCCGTCGCCGCCTCGTCGCCAAGTGTCGTCTGGGCTTGTTTGTTGTGTCCGCCGCTTTCTTGCCGCCGTCGCCGCCTCGTCGCCACTTCCCCAATCAGTGCTTGCACTTAAGGGTTGTTACTTGTCTTCTAAGCTTGTTTGTCGTGTCTGGCGCCTGGTTGGCGCCTCGACGCCCTAGATTACCCACGTAGGTTGCATCACATAGTTTGCACACCATATTCTGCACCACATAAGTTGCACAACATAGAGTTCACAACATAGATGGCAGTACACATATTTGCACAACATGTACTGCCTCACAAAGATAGTGCCACGTAGATTACACAACCTAATGCGCACAACGGATCAATTCCACCACCGATATTGTACCACCAAGGTTGCTCGACCAAGATTGCACAAAGCATATTGCTTATGTTCGTTCTGGCCATTGAGCCGATACTGAGGTGGATCCCTGACAAGCTCCCCGACCATGTTGAAATGTCCTTGGGATATGCCGACGATCTTTGTTTTGACCTCCGCTGTTTATTTGATGGGCTTGGCCCGCTCTTGCAGTGTCTCGAGCGCCTCCGCGATGCAGTGGGGCTTGTTCTCAACTTCTCAAAATGCCAGATCCTACTAGTAGATCGCCTTCTGAATGAGCCACTCCTCGACGTTCTCGAGGAACTTGGGGGCCCTTACCCACAGTTGGAGATAGTTACCCGCCTCAAATATCATGGCATTTGGATTGGCGAGGCTGCTCACGAGGTTGCGTGGGAGGAGAATGTTGTGAAACTCACCAAGCGCACTCGAGACATTCGTGACCTTGGCCTCGGTCTTGCTCACTCTATTGTGTTATTCCGTGCCTCTTGTGTTCCGTTGTTGTCCTTCGTTGCCCAGCTACATCCTCCCTCGTCCGAGCTGATTCGAGCATATCGTGCATGTGTTCGTCTTTTAACTGCTGGCCCCAACCACGCCATCTCATATGACATGTGCATCTCTCTTACCAATGTTGGCCTTCCTCTTGACTTTCCTCATTTTGAACAGATTACTGCAGCTACCCGTGCCCGCTTCCTTACTAGATGTGGTGAAGTAGGGAGACTCCGTGATAGCTTCTCTGTCACCTTCACGGATGACGGCTGGTGCCCTGCTCGGAGAGTGTCTGGGCGTGTGCCTGCATCATTTGTCGTTGCTCTCTACGAATATCACGGCTGGGTTCTGAGGCAGCAGTTTCGACTGAAGGCTGACCGTCCAGATGTGCAGCGTCAATATATGAAGTTCCTGGCTGTGCATTACCGTCTTTCATCCTCCCCTCTACTTCTCCTACACAGGCGTGTCAATGCTTGGCTTCCTGAAGTCCCACATGGTCAGATTGTGTATGTTGCTCAGTGTTTGAGGAAGATGGTCCCTCTCACCAATATGTATATCCCCCTTGCTGTTCTTCGACTTCTCACTCGTTCCCTCTGTACCTCGTCTCGGTTCCACTGTGTGCCTCGTGGGTGTACGATGGGATGTGAATCATGTGGGGCGGATCTTGATGACCTCAAACACTATTCCCGATGTCCTCATCTACATCGTTTGTTCTCGTATTGGATGGGTACTTGGACTCCGAGGCCTCCTGGGGGTTTGCCCTGGCTTTCTCCCTTCCTCCTTTTTTCTGGGATGCGGCCTGACCAACGTCTGTTGTCTGCTATGCTATGCGACGCTTTCATTACCTCTCACATCTCCCTCCGTCTCCGTCTGCCTGGCACTCCTAGTCGGCATTTTGAAGCTAGACTTCGCGTGCTCGCCCGTCGTCACCGCGAGGCTCGAAGGCTTTTATCCACTGTTGGGCGCGAGGCGTGGCGAGTCGCCAACCGATCGCGCTGACTTGGCGGAGTGGGAGGGGTGCCCTCTTCCAAGTTCATAGTAGTGTGATGGCTGTGCGCCCTGTTGCTCCTTTGTCCTGCTGCTGTTGGTAGCAGTCCACCGTTGGTCGGCTGCCACGGGCATGTGGTCATCTCGCCGTCCGCACGCATCAGGCCCCAGGACCCGTCGGAGCCTCCAGAGTCCCCCCCCCCCAAAAAAAATGCACAAAGCATATTGCATTACATACGTTGGACAACCGTGGTTTTACATCATATATTGCACAACGTAAGCTGCACAACCTAGATGCTCTCTTCTAAAAGAGTAATAGGATGTACGTCCCCTGTCATTGCAATTTACATGTGACTCTGTTTCTTTGTCCACCCTAAATCTGAATTCGCACCATCCCATATAGGCCGGTACCCCCCCCCGCTAATCCTCTGCGAGAGATGCTATGCGCGAGCTCCCGTTTGCCACTAATCATAAGGCTTTAAGAATCCCTTGCAAGGAATGGAACGACGTGCGCACGCGCGCGTCGTCGCGCGCGCATGCGGGAATTCCTCGGCAACCTAAGGGTTCGAGGGATTTAAAATTCGAACTTTCCGAACACATGGTTTGGCAACGCCAGTTTTCAAAACATGCCTGGCTTGCGCTCATTTCTCAAGGAAGCGACATGTTGTTCAGCATTGTCGTTCCATTATGCCAAACGGGCCGCTTCGCGCCGCATGTCGAGCTCTTTCGAACGCCCTGGCGCGCATGATGCGGGGACACGAGCCGTGCCAAATGATAATGCCATGCGGGCCACTCTCGCGCGTCGGCCGCGCGCGCATGTCGAACTCCTTCCAAAACCTTTTATCACCGGCGCGAGGACGCCGTCATCGTCGCCGGCTTGATCAGCATCGGCGGTGTCGCTGGCCTTGCCGCTGTCGTTGTCATCATCGTCACCAGCACCGCTACCACCATCATCGCGTCTACCGTTGTCGACATTGCCATGATGCCGCACCCGCCCAAGTCGCCGACTCGCACTGAAAACGCCCGCTTGGAAGTGCCCAGCGGTTAGCGCCACCGCGGCCACGTCGGTCGCGCCAAACTAAGTGGCCGCTTCGCGCGCGAGCATGCGCGTTAGCGCGGCCGCGGCGATGCGCCACCCAGCGCCGAGCAGTCACCGCAATCGCCGCCGCATGGGTTTTGCAAAGCAAGTTGCGGGTGAGTGGGTGGGGTGATTGCACGAGCAGTGGGGTTGCATCACATCGATTGCGCCATTCATCTTGCCCCACCGATATTGTTCAACACCTTGTGCACCACATATGCTGGGAAGTTTGTAGTTTTACATATATATGTGATTATAGAGAATATAATCAGACTGTCCTGGAGGATCCAGGAAATCCTGCAGCCCTTTGTTGCTCGAGGAAAAGAGCGACCCTCACCTCCCCCCTTTCTCCGTGAAGGGGGTGGGTGCACGTGCATGGTAGCGGAGCTCGCTTGAGGTTCGCGGGCCGCTCCGCACCCAGGCGAGCTCCAAGAGCCCCTCGAGAGGGCCCAGCGGCGCGACGCCGCGGGTCCGGCAGCCAGCGGGACGATCCACGCGGCCGCCGAGCAGAGGACCCCTTGCTGGTCAGAGCTGCGGTCAGACCCGCGCTCTGACAGCGGTGGCCAGCCAGCCAACAAGGGCAAGGGCAAGGCCACGCTGAAGGCCAAGAAGCCGAACAAGCGAGGAGGCAGAGCGGCGGACACGCGTGAGCACCGCCAGCTACGAGGGACCGCTTTTAGGAAGCTTGCGGCGTGCGGCAGCAAGGCGAAGCTTACTCAGGAGGAGCGAGCAGCGGTGAAGAGGCAGCTGGCGAGCGACATCGAGAGGCTGGAGAAGCGTGTCACTGACGTGCTCGACACCCAAGATGGAGCAGCAGCTGCAGCAACTGGTCGATCAAGTTCAGAGGCTGACGACGGAGAGTCAGAACATGAGGCAGGAGCTTCAGAACAGGGACGTGCAGATCGCAGAGATGAGAGGACAACTGCAGGGTCAGCAGCAGGCTCAGCAGCAGGCTCAGCAGCAGCGGGTAGCCCCGCGCGGCGAGATGATGGATCCGAAGATCCTTCACAAGGTGAAGCCGTTCGACGGCCAAAGGTCAAGCTGGAAGACGTTCAGCTTCCAGTACAGAGCGTACCTGATCGCCCAGGATCGGAGGTACCGAGATCTTCTGGAAAGGTGCGAGGACG